ACTATGTACTATATGAGTCTCTTACATTAGCATAATCTTTGACTTGTACTATTTAGGCTGTGCATAAATATCATCAGGAAAGAATTTGGTACATTTTAATTCACAAAGATAAAGATCTCTGACAAAAAAATTATTTTCTAAAATTTTAATCACTGCTACTGTCATGTCTGCTCCTCTGCTGCCTAGTTCTTTTAGATTCATAATTGCCATGACGATGGTGTTTTTTTTCTTCCTAATAAAGTAAGTGTCATCGTCATCATCTGATATGAGTTGCTGCTGGTGGGTGTGGCCTCTTTTGTTTGCATGCAGTAGTCCCTTGATTTTGATTCCTTCTTTGATTTTTTGTCTGATTTCTTTTTCTTCTTTCTACTCTGTCTATGCCTGTGGATTGAATAATACTATAATAATAATGATAATGATGAATAAAAATTAATAATCTCATAGCATTCATAAGGATATTGGAAAGTGATGTATGTGAGTGTATAAAATTGTTGGTCTGAAGGCCACAATTTATGAATGCGTGGACCTCTTTTGGAACAGATTTTAAAGAGGAATTGGACAGAAATGGCATATTTCTATAGAAAGTAGAATTTCAAGTCAAAACCACCTCACTATAGCATAATAATAATGCGTAATGGATCAGCAAATAATGGAGTTTATTTTCATAAAAGCACAAACTTTATTATAATTATTACTGTACTTTTCTTTTTTTAATAGTTATAATTATTTTGAAACATAATCAAGTTAAGTTAGTTATAACTACCTTAATAGACACATTTGGTGTTAGAAAATCTTTATTTATTGTAATATCAACAGCATAACTATTACTTACTGACATAATGACATTAATCATTTCATTCACTTACTTCCATTATTACTGACACTATTTTTAATTGAAGTATATTGCTACACTAATGCTCATGCACTGATATTGAATAAATTTAGTCTCGCTAGCCAGACTATTCCCCAGCCTACAGTCATTGGGGTAGAATAAATCACAGTCTGTGGTATTAAGAACTACAATATTTGTATTAGATGTATTTGTGTCAAGTATGATATCTCCATCTTCATCATCAGTAACTAATACTTTACAACTAACAGAAGATCCAATAGGAATATCATTAGAGTAATAGACAGGGGGTGACCATGTTATTAATAATATATTATTTGTCATAAAACTATACTGAAGATCTTCAACTGGTGATATACCTATTAACTTGTTCTTGCCTTGTTAAGCACTTTGAGGTGTGTAAAAGGTGTCAAAAGATTAAAACAAGCACAAAGTATATATATAGCTGGGGAAAAGTTTGTTATTATTTATTTGAATGGTTTATTATAATTTGATATCATGATACTATGCTACACCTTCTAAATTAATGATGAAAAGTGATGAAAGCATAGCATTAGCTTATTGTATCTTATATACCTATTATTGCTGTACGAAATGTATAGTAAAGTGTTGCTTCAAAAGACTCCCTAATATTGATTGTAAATCAATATCATGCTAATAATATCAGTATATATCCCATGACATCCATACACTGTACACTAACTGATCTATACCGCTAAATTTTCACTACTGATGATAGAAAAATCAGTTTTATCACTTTTGATGATCAGACTTGATGTCAGGCCGAAACAAGTTTAGTTGCTTTTGACAGAACATGTAGTCTATTAACAGCAATATTTTTAAGCATAATAGTCATGCACTGATTAAATTAGCTACCACACAGTTTTATAGAGTACAGTATTATTGACTGTGGCACTAGTCTCATTATGCAGGGTTGACATCAGTTTGAACAGTAGGTCTGTCATATGCAGGGTTGACATCAGTTTGAACAGTAGGTCTGTCATATGCAGGGTTGACATC